GTTGACATATGTGTACTCGGTCGAATGCCTTTTCCTGGTCCATGAAGACGATGTTTAGGTCATTGTCATGCGCAATGGCAATCTCACACAACTGTCAATGCAAAATAGCGTCAATACAACTACTGTTTTTTTTAAAGTCAACTGAGCTTCACTGAGTTGAGTCTCTACGATTGGTCGCATGCTCATTTTCAGTATCCTGGGAACATTTTACCCACATCCCTGAGAAGGGATTCCTTCGTAGGTTCCACCGTTTTTTTTGTTACATGTTTATTTCCAAAATTGGTACAATGATAGCTCGTTGCCAGTCATTAGGAGCTCTTTTTATCGTCCAAGATAAATATTGTCCTCCATTGCCAGAGTTTACCGATATGGCCGCGCAGCTTGATCTCTTTTGCGGTTATGTTATCAATGTCTGGCGCTTTGTTTGTGGAGCTTTTCTTTATAACATGTTGGGTTTCACTCAGCAGTATTGTCTTTAGATCATTTCATTTATGCCATATTTTAACTTGACGCTTTTTGTGTAGGAACAAGGTATTTGATATGACGAGGTCATGTTCTGCTCACACCTCTAATAACATTTCTCCATTGCTGTTTTGATATGCTTCTCTGTCACGGTGTGGTCCCATGTATCTCTCCCACGTGGCCTCCTTGTTCCCACTGTGCCGTTGGAGTCCCCCATGATTGTCACATTATCCTTGTCATCCACAGAGTTTAAAATTTATTATCATTGTTCTTTATTTAGAGCAGTCTGTCTTGAAACTCTCTGTAGAAACAAACCAATGTTTCAGAACATCACCTCAAGCGGTCATCAGAGTGCGTTGGTATAATCATGCGAGACGTCATAGCTAGAGCAGTTAAAATACCACTATTTATATATAACCTCTTTGTTTTTTTTAACTCAAAGGTTGGTGAGTTTAGAAAGCTGTCCATCTTATAGTTCACAATTGTTGTTGTTGTTCGCCCGTCGAGGAAACGAAGACCATCTGGTCATCCCTGCGGTCGAGGGAGGGAGCGCCGATGACTGGTTTGCAGGTAGAAAAAAAGAAACAAAGAAAGAAAGAAAGAATCTGAAAAGGATACAATTTGGCAGTTTGTCAGCTGCTGCTGACTCTAACTGTGCGTACACTCGTCGTGGGGAGTTGTGCGACTAATGATATTTTTGTGAAAAATCCACCACATTGGTTCAAAACGATTAGGTCGTCTCGAAAACATGTGCTTGGCGCTATAGACGACATGACAGTTGAATGACATCCTGGTACTTTACTCCGCAGGTGCAAACAAGAAGGTGCAACAACAACAACAACAACAACAACAACAACAACAACAACAACAAACAAACAAACAAACAAACAAACACATTCTTTCGATTACTTTGAGACGGCTCGGGCGTTAGCTCAGTTGATATCATGCAGAACTAAAGAGCAGATGGCCCCGGTTTGAATCCCCAATGAGGCGTTCTGAAGTTGGGTAGTTTTGAGAGTTTTCAAGGCTTTCCTCCCATTTCTTGGTCCTGTTGAGGGATGGACGTTAAATTCTGAAGTTCCCCCTATAAAATAATGTTAAAATGTTGAGGTGAGCGTAAACCTATGTAATTTAGCATTTCGAGCATGCTTATCCGTATCAGGTGTTTAAAAACCTGTCTCTCTGTACTAAACATGATCTGTCAGAATCCCCTTCTCACCCACATCGTTGTTTTTTTTTTCAAATAAAAAAAAATGAAAATAAAACATTCAACGCATCTGTATATCAAATGACAAATAAAACAACGAGTACAAGAAAGAAATGCTATGAAGAAATACGTGGAATGTCAAATGTATAGTATCTATATAAATGGTATCACGGAGTCACGATGCGAGGCCCAACTAAACCATTTCATCATCCAGTCCGATTTAGGGCCAGCTGTAGGTCAACCTACACAATGCATTCTGGACAATAGAACACATCGATCTGAACGCCAAGTGGTAACAAGAAGTGAATAAGATGTCCCTGAACTCTTGATGACCCTCAACAACCTGGGAAAGAACCAACTTATGCTGTAACGTTAACTTGCTTAGCTAGGAACTCAACAGTAATATCACTGGCCTTTCGGGTTGGGGGTGGGGTGGGGTGGGGGGAGGAATGGGTTCTTTACTTTTGGAGTGATGGTGTACATACCCCCCCTCTTCTACACACACACACACACACACACACACTCACACACACACACACACACACACACACACACACACACACACACACACTCACACTTACGAGTCCACTCGCAGAGAGAGTGTGAGATAAAGAAAGATGGAGAGAAAGAGAGAGACAGATAGAGAGACAGAGTGACTGAGTGAGTGATAGAGAGAAAGAAAAAGAGAGAGATGAGGAGGTGAGTAATTTCATTGTGACAACACTCCCCCCCCCACACGCGCACACACACACGCGCACACA